AATGTGCAAATAGGATCAACAGAAAAAAACGCTTGTTCAAGAGAAAAGGTGACGGTATTTAGTGGAGCCAGTACTTTGAGGGTAATGACAGTATCCGGCCTGTGACAAATTTTGGACAAAGTTTGCTAGACACATGTAATATGTCTAATATCCTTTCTGAGCTTCACCAGATTTTGTGCAATCTTCAGGTTCGTGATACTATTTTTGCATAATCTCAGCCATGGAGCAATCTAGCCGGATAAGTTATATTTAATCAATCAACCAGATTACCGTGCACAGGTCCCTTGTCCGTTATTACTACGGGCTTTGCTGTGTGAAGCATATCCAGTTAAGCTCTCCGCCATATTTAGTTTGCTCAAGTGATCTCATCTCAAACAATGAACGAAACATGACTCTAAAATCCCGTTGAATGGTGGACTTTAAATCCCTTCGTTTGTCAGGGAACCGAAAGATAGTGTCACACCATTTATAATAATCGGTTTTACATTCAGGGGCAAAATCAAAAGGTTATGTTTTAGATTGTGATTAGTTCAAAGAAGTCACTATGTTTATGGTGTTTACTGCATACCCTTTTTTCCAGCGATAGTTACATTTTACGTGTCTCCTTTGTCCGTCTTTTAGACGTTACAGCCAAAGGAATCTGTATTCCAGAGAATCTTTTGTTGTCTGTAAGATATTTTTAATTTAAGAATTTTTTAAATCAATCTTTGCCCATAGAAGCAGGTATGAGAGCGATGATAAATATGGATCAATGAATGTGATGACCTAAGCATATATTTATTTTCTGAAACCATGAAACGACTACTCTCAAAATCGTAAGTAATACAAATGAGCGAATGGTGTTTATTGGAAGTGCGTGAAAACAATCGCCACTGCATAGGAAACGTGACTCTCAAATATGGGTTCCTATCTTTATCACTTGGACTATCCATTCTATGCTTAGAAGTCTCTTTGATGTCGTTAATACTTTGAATTGAGAACTGTACTCCTTCAAGGGACCTCATAACACATGCAAAGACAAAGCTTGATGCTTTACTGACATCCGCATCGATCTTCCTGTCCTATTTCAAAAGTGTGAGGCTTGGACATCATCTTGCTTATTGGAAATTGTCGGCTGAAATAGCCGTTTTTCATCACACTACCCTCCACACTGCCACATCTCTAATACCCAAAACACTACTGGTTGGTTTTACTCTACACATTTCTGTTATATGACCTTGGAACGAATTTTTCGGGTTTTTAAATTCTTTTCCGGTTGATTTATTAAACGATATATACGTTTATTTTCAGATGGTGTACCACGTTTCTAAACATTTTGATACCCCTTTTCAACTAAATTTAGTTTGGCAAATCTATAAATTTTCCAAACTTAGATGAACTCCACACTTGATCTATTTTTCAGCTGCTTGAAATTTTCCCATTAGATTCTCATCACATTAACAATAGCATTTTCTCTCCGGTTTTCAGCCTCCTAATACACAAAAATTCTATCCGTAATCACTATGGTTATTGAAATCCATTTCCTCAATTCATCTGAGCACACCACTAATTTTTTACAAACTTCAGGAGGCTTTCGTTCTAGTCTCCTCAACCAAAGCTCTTATCTGTTCCCTTACGCATGATGAAAAAGTATGCTTCCAAAATGGCTTTAGTCTTCAACGGTAATGTTCTCTGGTCTGCGTAGTATCCAAATAGCTCATGCTTTTTTCCATGCCTTTCTCTTTATCCAGAGCTCAAGCCACTCATCACACAGCCTCCCAACACATCAGCATTTGCGATTAGCCAACTCATGAGATTACGTTGGACCCCTGTCATTCTGCATTATCGAAAATGATTTCCGGTGGTAGCGTCACCAAATTATCACCACGGAGGACGTTTGTTCGAATCCCACCACCACCGCCTGAGGTTCCCCATTGCGTGTTGTATGGCGGCCCTTTGATTAGGCGCTTTCCCCTTCCTGAAAATTGTATCATTGTGTATTTATTAAAAGGAAATAAAAATAAAAGATAGAGCAAAAGTCCCTTTCACTTGCTCCAGGTGCAAAATCCGTCAAGTCTCCTTCCTCGAACTGTTCGGGATTTATGTACAGCATTAATTGGAGGCCTTACCTACTCCATACCTAATAATTTCTCCCATTTGTATCCCTTGAGCATCAGGCAGCCAAATATGCTGACTACAAGCTTCTTTGACCTGGATAAGCTTGATATACTCCACATGGAACGTTGTAATTTATTTGAGCTCTTGATACCGGCCGAGAAAATGGTTCTCATTTGGTCTCCTGTTCAAAAATTCTCGCTTGAACGTATTCGTGGTTTGGGTAATTCTTTAGCTGATATCTAAAACCTTTTCCAACCTGAGTGAACCTTATTTTGACACTAACTACTGCGTTGCTTGTCAGTAGGCTATTTGGCGAAATGCAAAACCATGGCTGCAAACGTTCAGGTTTACACAGTCGACCGTTTTGCAGATGATTTTACACTTATCGCTAGTGAATTTAGTCGTGGAACACGTGAGATTAAATAATCAAACACAGATCATTTATGGACAACTCGGTATGTGAATGATTCCTCAGAAACCCATAAGAAAGTAATTTGAAAGCAAACAATAATACTACCGGAATATCCGATTCTTCCGTAAAACGGCTAAACAGTTCATTTTGAAACTACTTTGTATTGTTTGATTCTATTGGACAACAGCAATATTTCATGTCGCAGTTCTACTCTTTGTCAACCAGTGAAAAAAGGTAAAATCGACACAAGCGAAACTGTATAGAAGATGAGCTATTGGGTTGGAAATTACTCATCATTAATGCAAATGTGTTTGTAATAAGTTTTCTGTCGATAGCTACCACAGTACATCTATTGCGCTGATGAAAAAGTATAAGATACACTGCATATGGGGAAGTGGCTCCAATCGCTCGATCAACATAGTTAAGCATTTGGATCCGTGTAGGGAAACAATCCCACAATTGTCCCTACCCTGACATTAATACATTATCCATCAGACGTGGTCATTTAAAATCTCCACTCGTGAATATGTTGATATTATTTCACCACTCGTATACACATTCAGTGCTCTTTCGTAAGCGGAAAGCACCATTTGAGATTGAGCGGAATGCAACCGAAACTATCTCACACAATCGCGCAATTTTGTGTTGGTTTCTTTTTTTCTCGTATTACTTTATCCGTATTGTGTTATTGTGTTACCTGGATGGCACGTGGCCACCACGAAAAATTGACTCAACTGCATATATAGTGGTTATCTCCCTTCACCAGGCAAGCGTCATGCAGTATGCAGTAGTACTAACACAAGGTTATGTTGATCTTCGTAAAGAATGATTAATCGTTATTGGCTCCTAAGCGTTTACGCCAACGTAGATATTACAAAACACCGCCTTTTTGAAAACAAAATTAATGGGTGAACTTAATGCATCTTTTGGCATCAACCTTTAGACAAAAACAGCAATTCTTTTGTTCCGTCCCATAGCCACGACCCACAGCCATTTATATTCTCGACAAACGAACTTGGGCCATGCCCAGTTCAGTAAGTCAGGTCAAAAAGCAGCAGAGTAATCTGAACTCAAAGAATGGTAAAATATTGTAATTTTTACAAAGTCTCTTGAAGGACTGACGATCGTATGCTGCGCGGTTGACGATCAAAATGATGTTAAATACTGCATTGAAACTTGATTAGAGCGGGTTTCAGACGATTTGCTCGCANTCCGCATGACTACAACCGCTGGAACACGACTCCGTTCATTCACGCCAACCTTCGTGACCCGGGATCGATCAGAACCGAGTGATTCCGATGTCTACCCATCTCAAGGCGCAATAAAGTGAGGAAACGAAAATACAATCCCTGGGGCTATAACCGGGTCACTGAACCACTGGCAGTTCACCTAGGACAGATGGCTAAAAACCCTGATTCCAGACCAACCTAGAAGCGGCCTACCAACCACACCTTTTTTATCATACACCTGTGTGATAGACGGCATACGAAGTGAAACCCAATTGTCACTAAGACCTGTTGTTCAGTGGTGATAACTGGCAAATTAAGCCCCGGGACTTGGAGTGACAAACCACATAATGCCCTGCTAGGTCAGCCTTGGTATCCAATCCGGTTACAGCAACGCTGCCTACCACGCAAATTGGGTGGTGGTGGCGGGGGTCGAACCTCGGACCACAGGGACCAAATAACATAGGTTACAACGACTAAACTATTGCGCTACCTGCACTACCACTGCTTGCAGCAGTGGTCATCGACTCCTTTGGGCATCCGTGTGTATTGGGCACCTTGGACGTTTGACCCTATCCGAATGGTGTGTGATCCAATGAACTGAACACCGACCCCCAACGGAATGTCGTAATCATATATAGTCGTGATGCCTTGTGGGTCAGACTTTCGGTAGGCCAAGGCTCCGATTGTGGATTTTACAAAAAAAACGCACCTGCAGTATCTCGCCTACTGGCAAAACAAGGGACTTTTTCTTTTATAATGTGCTGTGCTGTGTACTGTGCTTTGTCTGACCCAGTCTGAACTCAGAAGTTTGTAAACTACATATATGCTATCTATAAACGCCTTGAAACTAAATTACAGAAAAAAAATTGTTTTGCCAAACTGTACTGTTCATTACAATCGTTTTGGCTTCCGTTCAGTCTACCGGTAAACAATCCAAACGATTCCTGACACAATGAAATTAAACAAACACGTAATTTTTATTGGATAACCAGATCCTACTCTGGATGATATTATGAGAACGCAATATGCCGTACAGTAATTAAACCGCGGTGATTATACTCTTTGTTGCGTAGATCAAATGCTTGATACAAGCCACAAATCGGGAGAATTCAGTGGCAAAAACAAAACAAGGACAAAAAGAAACAAACATTGGAGTCAGAAACCGGAACATGTGCAGCCCCACGAACGTGCAAGAAATAGAAATGTGTCTGGCAATATCGGGGATGAGAGGAACAGCTGTGACTAAAGTGCGTTCGGCCTTCTTAACAGTTGCATTTTACAAATGAATAAGGAAGCGATCGACGCTGGTGAGCCACTCGCATCTCATGCGGTCGTTTGCGTAGACCGGGGAAATTGCCTGTCTCCGTCTCACGCCCGGACATTATGGACTCTGTATAGGTTCGAATATCTTCCAATTGTGGTGTATCACTGTCCGAGACATCGCTTGGATGTTCCCATTCCGGACGTCCAGCATATCGTGTGGTCCAAGCATGCCATAACAGAGCCACTATGTCCGCGGTGACCACATCCCCTGCATTGGCTGTCATCACGTGAATCAGGAACACACCATCGTAGCGAAGAAACCGATTGACGAACGCTTCCACATTTCTACGTACCAAGGGGTCCATGGCCTTCTGGGCACGTCGTGGACGTTTCAAGTCGGGTTCTAAGCCTCGATGATACGGACCTATCGAATCGGTCGGGAGTAGTTGTTTCAATCGTAGATATTTCCATACCNCAGAGCACCACGACGATGTCTTGTACTCATTCGTATGACCCAGACAAAAAGACTCAATGCCGTACACATCATAACCACCATGATCCAGAAAAATAGAAAAATATAGATTTTTTCATTGAACATGTTGATCGGTAGGGCACAGACACCAGTATACATATTTTCTCGTGCACCCAAATGGCGTAATCGTAGTATACAATAAGAAATACGTGGAAAATACAGAGACTCGGTCCAATATGTTTCGGATAATAGATTGCCTAACAGTTTCCACGCGAAAAGAAACATATTTCGATCATAATTCAAAAATATCATCATGATATACAGCTGTATCAAAGCGTTTCCTAAGTAGGCTAGTTTGATACAGAAATAGGCGAACACAGTCCACGTGCCCAGGCGCTTACTGACAAACAGGAAGCCAATCAGGCCGGACATGGATCGTCTTAGATCGGCCAATATCCCGTGTCGATATTCCCGATGAGCGAACAAGAGCAATTCTAAGGATCGGGCGGCTTGTTGAATACATTCGGTGCGTTTCGAATCCGACGGGGCCATGAGCGCTTCAGATGCTTTGCCCACAAGCTGATTCAGATCCGTGCCCAGACGATTAAAACTGACCGACTGCCAAGCTAAACGAGGTATGTAGAACATGATTGCCTGTAGTGCGAGCATAAACGGCACCCACTGATAGTAATCTAAAAGTACAAGAAATTGTTCAGGGTCACGTAAATAGACAGTAGTTAAACAAAGGGAGTACATATATGTTTATAGTCATGGAATGGTTTTTAAAAGGGAAAACAAATTCTGTAAGCACAATTAGTAGCAAAATAACAGACCTGAGTCAAACGTGTATGCGAAATAGTGTGAAAAAGGAAATCTGGAGGACAGTGGGCCGTTAGTCTACAGGCTATCATCCAGGGAGTTGATCATCAGTTCTCATGGCATTCTTTAAACACGCACATACCTCGCAGGATATTGGTCAACGTGAAATGCCGAGTGGAATCAATCATGTCACGTAAATCCTATCTCAGCACAAAATTTATTGCATCACCCAACGATACGAATTCGATTTGATCCTACTAGAACTAATGTGAACCAGAAAAGTTCCTCGAATAAATCAAATGTCCTAACAATTTCCAAATTAAGAAGTTACCAGCCCATCTCCAATTGTTTTATGATTCCAAGGTTAGAAGGTCCTGTCATCAACACGCACGGAACTTTTGGCTCTGATTGGCCTACAACGGCCTCAAATGGACCAATGGGCTTCAAGTCCACTGGCCAAACGCATTCGTCTGATGCGCGTAGGTGTGAAAGACTGTTTTACCTTTGAGCTTCATAGGTTCCTAGTCACCATCCAGTAGCACTCGATATTGTCCGTCGTCAGCAATTCGCAGGCGAGTGCTATGTCACTGACCAGATCATTCTGTTGAACTCGCTACGCATTTAACCAGAAAAACACCGGTATTGCTTGTTTTACTGAGAAAATCAAATTCAATGCAGTCACTAATCAGTTAAAATTCTTTGTCATCAAAAGCATAATAAAAATCATAATTGAATAACTTACTTTCATTCTCCATGTAATTTACAGACCTTCACAGAATTTAGGAGGTGGATAAATCAACGAAATCACTGACAATAAATAAACCTCATCGATGATTGAAAATATGTATGCGATGCGAGGAAATCCTTTCATTTAATACGTTTCAGATGTATTTAAATATTGAGATCGATGAATAAGTCAAATAAAATAAATTAAAAGTTGGCATGATCTATTCAGTGTCCGACTGAGCTGATCCTAGCGGACTAGGTACACCACATCCTCAAAACAGTACACACTGAGGATGCATGACGCACATACTTCTGTCACGAGAACAATAGTGAAGATCAGATACATATATGCGTCACTAGGGGATCCATGTTATCGTACTCGGGCGTGGACAGCGTTGTACAGATAGTGATCGTGGTTGTTTGATCTTCCTTATATGCCGATCGTATCGCCATGCCATATAGTAGGACTAGCCGCGTTTCGACAAAATGCAAAAATAGGAAAAACGAGGAAAAAGGGAGAACTGGATGTGTGGCGAAGTTTCCCCGGATGCTCAAATGTCATTGCTTAGGCGGATAAACCATGAGAATGACAAGCAACAGATTTTGCGATTAAACGGACTGATTAGAACACAAGTCGTAAGGTGAACAACTGTTTTCGAATGATTCATAATCCCACCTGTACAGATCGTATAAGGGTTTGTTCTTAGTGGGATCAAATTTTCACACTGGGTCGGAAGGTCATTCGGATGGGGGTAAGGGAGGTGTGGGAGTGATTGTGGGCAGAGTATTAGTGGGGGTGATGTTGATGATCAATTTAGGGCCAGGGTAAGTGAAGAACTTGAACCAGTCGGTTTTGTGCGCTTAGTTCCGGGGTGAAAAGGCGAATGCTTATCGCCTCAGCGGTGGCTAGTGTGTGTGTAAGTGCATTGCCTNAGGTTGGGGGGGGGGGGACACACACGATAGATTACCTCAATGAATCGTTCGGGATAACCATTTTCTCCGAGATTGTCCTTCATCTTTGTTAATTCTCAATTTAACACCTTACCAGAGTAGATGTTGCGCGCTCATAATGTGAAATCCTAACAACAAACCCTTATAGGATCTGTACAGGCACGAGTATGAATCATTCGAGAACAACTGTTCGCCTTTAGCTTTGTGTTCCCATGCTATAACCGGTTTATTCTACAATTGGAAATATAAACGAACTGAGTCGATGGAATATGTAGCAATTAAGGCAGCATGAAAAGTGGCGTCAAATTGTGGACTAGACCCAGCTACAATACCCCAACTTCGTTGAAAGAAAATACTTAAGTCATAACACGCGCCAAATTGTGCAAATTTCATAAATCAACAGGAGGTAGACAACTCGCGTAAACTTGACAATCAAAGAGTTTGGTAAACACATCGTGAATCGATGAAGACGATTTACAGACAGACAGACAGACAGACAGACAGACAGACAGACAGACAGACAGACAGACAGACAGACAGACAGACAGTGAACTGAGATAGCATAATATCTCAGTACCATTTAATCAAGATGAGCAATATATTTCCAATCAAGGTGAGTCCCTTACTTTATAGACCAGTTTCATGGATTAGACAACTTTACTGGAGTCAAAGCATTCTTCCCAAAGCGTCAGTCCTTTGAAAACTTGTTTGGGCAAATAAATCTAGCTTTTCATAGGATGATGGACATGGCAGGAGAAAATGGTTTGAAACAAAGCCATCGTCTTTTCGTAGTTTGCTTTCTTTCACATCCAAAAGTTTTTGTTTGCTTTCTTGATTCTAAGCAGGTTTTGAGATGTGCATACACTTCAGTACGTGACTACAACTGAGCGCGTGATCTAAAGATAATTTTCTGATTTCCCTCGGTAGCCCCTTAAATGGATTTTTCACCGATAAAATCGACCCTCGCAAAACTACCCCTCCACATCATGAACAATGTACAAAAGCTAGCCAATCATCTATGTAAAGGGCTAACGCCTACTCATAGATCTTTTTCGAGTTACATATTGGACTGTGATAATAGAGTTATTGACCCCAAATGTTTGATATTCATACTTCATTGCAAATAGTGAGAATTACGAAAAGTTTATCGATTGGAGCTCAACCGGCTTGAATTAGCCATTGCGCATGGGATTCAGGGCAAAAAGATATCACAAATAAAATAAAAATATCACAAATATCACAAATCACAGGAGTACTCACTAATTCGACGATGCTTTTCTAATTCCTCCCAAGTGGACACTTGTTGCGGAATCGTTTCGTTCGCTCGTAACGGTACAGTGCCCAACACCCAACAGGCAGATTCCACGTAGTTCTTGAAATTGGCCCCATCTGGAGCAGTGGGCATATGACAAGCAATCGGTCGAAGCAGATAGGTTTTCGAGGTGACCATAAATGTGCATGCGAGAATCAGGACAAAGGAGTAGAAATAGCTCAACCGATCTGCCCAGTCATCGACTCCGATGAAATTGGCCAATCGATATTTGTTGTACAGACCGACAAAATCTGTCGCACTCATTGCATTGCGCGTCTATCGGTGTACCTGAATTGGTGGAGAAGCGACAGCGTCATATGATTCCGTGTAAAGCATGGAGGTGTGGCATTTGATGAAGAATTTAAAATATGAGCTGCAAACGTGATATTTACATATATTTATACACCCATACATTTTGTGCGGAAGAAGCTCTTTCGAGAAATTTTCACCGTGGACGCTTTCTTCAAACCACAGACAGTTGCCGGATCACGTGTACAAGTGTTTTGCTACCCACTGACAAAGTGACTAATATAAACCGTGGCAAAACTATCTCATCACACTGATTTGTTACATTTTTCTGCACCCAGATACAAGATCATCACCATTTCTGAGAGTCTGGGTAACAATAAAATGAAAGGCTGAAATACTGATACTGCTTTCAACTATACTGTTTGATATTAAGGAAACCATATTAAAAAAATTATCTTAATTGCAGCGCCAGCAAAGGTTTGAACCCCATGGACCTCATCAATTGAAGGCTACCTAAAGCCGGTTGAACTGACGATTACGCGCACCCGTCTTCTCAACTTTAAGAAGAATCTATTTCTAGTCTTGCCTCCCCTCCGCTACACCTTCTTCGTAAGAATGACTAATAATTTTTCTATAAAGTCCGCATCTTGAAGGACATGAAAACCACGATATCCTTTTGATAGTCAGAACTAACGGTCACTATGTTGTGTAGGAGATGGATTCGATGTGTTTACTCGATGCCATCACGGATAGTAAATGCTCCTCCAGTGTTCCAATTCAAACGCACGCGGATATTTCCGCCCACGTAGTGCAGCGCGTTCTTCTAGATCATCGATCGTGAAGGCAATCTATGCCATCAAGAGATGTACATCATATATCCGCCTGCTGCAGTGCTGCTCTCTATGGATTATGTTCACACTGATTCTGAGTCTGTATTCCCAATTCAAGTGAGTCGAGAGTGGCACGAGTATCGGATGAAGATGGTCTTTCCAAGTTGTCCATTTAGCGAAGGAATCACCAATTTGTTGACTAACCATGGTTGCTAGCTCCTATACGGACGCAACGACACGAACTGACCAACACACACATCTCTGATCTTTGGGTGTGCAACACTTTTGCTGTGATGACAGTTGTGACCTTTAGTTGTACAATTTTTGAAATAAGAGATAATTTGATGAAATTAGGAAATTTGGATTTCCATTTTTCCTCTACCTAGGTTACGAAAATTCTTTATGAATGTTTACGTGGGAGCGTATAATAAAAACAAAAAAACTAGCCGGATTCATTACTTTCTTCAATGGGGGGTATCAGTTTGGTGGGAAAGGAAAGGGTTATAAAGATGTAGACAGCATTTGGTATATAATTGCCAGTCGTTGTATTCAATAAAACTCGTAATACGTACGGATGTAGATCCCTAAATTAGGTACAAACTGACAGCATCGTACGTAATCCATGTTAAACAACAAAAGCATGTCATCCACCGCCACTGGAAATGCAAGTCATAAGTAGTCAGGCAATCAATAACAAACGGACACGTTGTTCAGTTTGATTGGTCAATGTAATCAAGGTCATGTGACTGCATCTTTGCCTGTCTGTATGTAAACGGGTGTGTGACATCGAGTATTGTCACGTGTTAGGCCACACACTTATCATTGCATTATGCCCTTCAGTGATCCTTCGAAGAGCGACTGACTCAGATTTTTGATGCAAGCTTTCCGTGCTTCAACCTTTCATAGTGCGAATTTACTGACATCACAAAGGGTCATAACTGGATTGATCGCGCAATCGAATCGGCTTTCAGTTTCACATCACACGTTTCTATTGCTCTTTTTAAGAGCAAATTCATCAATAAATCGANGATTTAAATGTTCCACTAATCTTTTCTGAACACATATAATACATGGGGATATCTATTTAAAGGTGACCAGACTTATGAGCGTTTTGATTTGAACATACTTTATCATATTTGTCCCTGTAAAAGAACGTCTCATACGTATACAGTAGCAACCAGACGACAGTGGCAGGGCCTGCTGTATTTGTCTAAAACTAATTCACTACATACTGGTCCAATTTTACAATAACTATCACCGAAGCACAGAAGTTAAGCAACGAAAATCCGCACTGTCGTAAGTTTGTATGATTAGAAGTGGTGGGTGGGCGAATGTGGTTTGTGCGGTGGGTCGGTTACACACTTCTTTGTACGGACCGGCGGTGCGGGTTTCCAAACCGAACTTTTAAAGTTAAATGCTGCACACTATGGGTTGTTCCGCGGAGCAAGAAACTTTTCTGGATTCCGCAAGTCGCTTAGATTTAATGAAGTACGGGCGATTGTTCCTTTTTTTGTACATACAAAGTACCTGGGCAGTAAAACATATGACTGGAATACCCATGTATATATGTTTATGAAACTAGTATGTTCAATGAAACATAATACCCAAGTCATGGATAGGCGTGCCGGGCTAGATGTGGTCGGATTGCTAAATTAAATGTGGAACAGTTAGCTATATCTCATATTTATCAAAGAAAGTCAACTAAATACCACCACTATAGTAGTAAGTAGTTAGTTTCACAATCGTACTAGAGGATCTCAGTCAACCGTACAATGAAGTACCTTGGGTACGGAGTAAAAAGTAACGATAGGAAACATTACAGCACTGATCTTTTGACCCGGTCGAGTCTTATAAGCAGTGAAAATCCAGCGACCCAATTTAGGATCGAACCCCGAACCTCACAGGCAAGCAAACTATCTACTTGAATTTGCTTTAAAGTTCGCATTTCGTTTGATCAGCACGTGATGGAATTCACCATTTACTCGAATCTAATCTTTTACTACTTTTACTTAACAAGTAGCCAGTTTTTGAATGTTTCCAACCGAGTCAGAAAGCTGGAGGCTGTCTGGTGAGCGAGTCGTGACGTTCGTTACAAGCTTTCTCAGATAGATCGTGCTATATAGTGTACAATTCAAACACTATCTGATCAGATGCCCGGTCGTCGTCGAATATGTTCTTTGCTGCTTTCAGGTTGATGATGAATTTTCTCAGGAGCACGATAAACTACGGAATATTGTAATAAGTGCAAAACGGTTGTCACGGTCGTCACGCTAATCTCACGGAAAGTGGTCTCTCGAACCGGAATAAGATGAATTTGAATGAAGACCAGTTTCTTTGAACTGCAAATCTTTTCTAGTATTCAGTCTATTTACTCACAAAAATAATAAACAAATGCATAAAATAGCATTCAACATAGTAACATGCATTATCCTAATTACTAGTGTTGAACGTAATAGTGTCGTGCTGCGCAATTTACAGAATGATCTGATCATGGGTTAAGACTGTTGAAATTGTGACTCTGGCTGGTGCCGATCCAACCAGCTGTTCCGTTCAAGCCTGTCACTGGCAATAGGCTAATTCAACCCTAAGGGAAAGAAAGATGATCACTGAACCAAGTAGACCGTTTGGCAAGTCTGCCTTCCTGCAATGCACTGAAACACTGATCGCACATGCCTGTGGTATTGAGCTGCCCGGGACAATTAGTCATTTGTTGGTTCGATGTCCCAGACGCCAAATATTGTGTTTCGGTGAAGTAAGTAAGTAAACAGTCAGTGAGCTACGCAATTCGTTTATTTGCGGTGTGCACACACACACAACCCAGCTGTGGGTCGGTGAGTAAGCAAACCAGTTCTCTCATTGCAGATGAAAGACAAGTTAGCGGTGGAAATGACCTCATTCTGCATTTACCAATTCGTGTGTTCCNCCTGTGGAACCACCCGCCGCTTGGTCGAATGCATTCCAGAGCACCACCCCAGCTGGCTTAGTGGTGCATTGACGAGACCCGGGGGACGGCGATCACGGCTCATTTGGTCGAAACCGAGCATCGTGTCAGAATGCGTGAAACGGTCGGGCCCATCTGCGCGATTACCGGGGTGAGATTGAAGCAGGTCAATCGCTGTCAACAGCCGAAGCGATCGCGATTCGGTTAAACAACCCCCTCCCCTTGTGCGTTCAAAAACAGTCGGTCAGAGCTCTGGATTTACCATGGCCAGCCACAAACGCTAGTGACATAAAGCCAGTTATCAAATCAGTATCAAATCGTTTATGTAATTGATTCATTCGACAGTACAACTGACATTTGCAGAATGGTTTGAACTCTCAACACCCCTTATTGTATTATCCTTAGTGACGAGACACATACATACAAACACAGACATTATTTACGCTTATTCTATTTCCTTGAATTATGTGATTTTGGCTAGTAAATGAGGCATCGAAAACGAGCTTGTTTGCAAAATTGACTTCTTAAAGGCATCTATGCACGCAAGCAGTTTGGTAAAACAGAATGTCAGCGCAAGCACAGGTGCTACCAGAAACCTGAGTGCGGTCAAACCAAGTAGTTAGCGCAGCAATCAGTGCGATCAATGCAATACCAACATGAGATTGGCTAAGGCGCACGTGATGGGCGTACGTGGGTGGGCGAAGGTAGCAGCGGCGTTCGCCAATCAAGTAATGATGCTGTGGTCATGTGCGTCACCGCAGGCCACAGCAAGATCTGGTGCCCAACCCTGGTAATGAAACTATAGTTAATAATAAAAAATAGACATACATGTGCGAAATAACACACTGAAGTCCACCAGAATAAGCTGCAACAGGGGGTTAGTAAACAAACGATATTAGCGGAATGTACGTGGAATCAAAAGATAACCGTGACCACCAATGCTAGTACTACTAAAATGATACTCTTGGTTGCATGGAACTAAAACCATACACTGAACACTTATGTTCATAAGAAGCCGTACGCGTTTCATACCAGCTTAATTATTTTACTTTGCGGTTGACAAATCATCTTTATAATGAATAAGTACTTATCGATGAAATTCCGCTCATGTTTTCAAAATCAAACAGCCAGTGCCCCAAATTCGTTTTGTATCCCATATACTAGCCAGCGATCATTTTGGTGCAAAGACAAATTGGAAATAACGCTGCTACCTAGAGTGAAAAAATACGATACTCAGCATCAGACTGTGAAAGTCACCATCCGTAACATCAATAACAAAGGTAAACTATATGTGTTCGAATACCACGCTATAAAAAAGAAAGGAAGAAATAAAATTGAATAGTCTGTATTGATTAAACTAGTTGAAATACAGTTGGATTACAAAAGTAAAAATATAAGCTCGGGGATGGTGCAGGCGAGGGTAAGCTGGGATGTTGGGTAGGGGATGTTATCACTGTCACCGCAGACTGTCAAATGAATGAACGAGGTATTGGTTGTGGCACTGGGTAGGATGTATGAACAAAAGTGTTCACTGACTTTGATCATCCATTAATCACCAGCGTAACAACAAACTATCAATTATTTGGCGGCAAAAAAATAGGCAGATATAAGGAGCCAGATGGGAATGTATGCACAGCTGGGCTATACAAACGCTCGTTTCTTTACATCTGTCTGTGAGCTGTACGTTGTCGGTCCCAGATGTGGCGGTTCCGGTGCAGTGGCTCGTCGGTCCCGCAGGCTTGGTGGCTCGGGTGGACTAGATTCGTCGTCCGATCGGAGTGGGGTGGTGTATTTATTGCAGTACAATTGCCACAATTCCGATATCACCTCCGAAGTGATCACATCTCCGACATTGATTGAAAGCATACGCAAAAGAAAAACCCCGTCATGTCGCAGAAATTCTTTAGTGAACATATCTACCAACTGTTTGTCGGCTTTGTGAAACTGGTCATTCAGGCGTAGAAATTTTTTTATAAAATTCAATCGATTACGCACAATTGTCAAACGAATTAGCCACAGGGGAATGCTCAACGCGGTGAATATTGCAACTACAGCAGTCCAGTACCACAGGAAAATATACAACTTTTCGTTAAGCATATTCACTGGTAGAACGCATTGGGCAACGTATCGATTAGTGGAACCCAGTTGTCGAATGTCATCTAGGTAACAGAAGCTGATCCGAGGGAATATTCGCGTTTGATCCCAATTACGACCAGCAGCCATATAGTTAGCCAATTCGATACCGAAGTTACTCATAGATTCGTTGAACCCCAAAAATCGTTGCATCATATACAATTGTCCAATAGCATTGATCAGATATAGTACTTTGATGACGAAGTAGGTAAATGCGAGCCATGTGCCCAAACGTTTGCTTGCCACGAGAATACCGCAAGCCTTGTACATTCGCCGCTTTACATTCGTCAGTGTCCCGGCACGAAATTCCCGGTGCTGAAACAGCATTGCATCCAATGAGTTTATCACGTGAGCGATCAATTTTTTACGCTCGTCTGTTCCGGCCTTTGAGGCCTGATTGGCTACGTCAATCAAATGCTGGAGATCGGTTCCAGCCTGATGGGAACAGATTACTTGCCAGACAATACGAGGTATGTAGAACAACAGGCCCTGTAGACCGAGCACAAACGGAACCCATTGGTAATAGTCTGTTTTTGTGGGTACATGAAGCGAAGGGAATTCAAATAGGATCACTTTCACCAGTGCGGTAAACAAGGGAATAAGTTACTGAAATAAGCGTGCAAACAGTACCGGTTAGACTGAATTCTTACGAATACATAGCAAAGCAATCATAAAGTGAGCTTACTCATGAGTGGTAACATTTCAAGGGAACGGAAACAAGAATTTAGTTCATTTGAATGCATTCACACCCGATGTGCTTCCGCTGAATAGACGCGAATAACCCGGTTAGGGTGAAATAGGCCAATTAATCATCAGCCAATTGTGATACACACTTAATGTGAATCATCCACTAAATATGATAGAAAGTAAATCAAATTATACACAAACCGATGCTGAAATCACAACAAAAGAGAAGCATTTCAACAAAATCTTATGCGTAATTGGAATCTGTTACGGTTCACTGTGATCTGCGAATACGTGACTATCGTTACCCAATTTCGTTCCACTGCTTTTACTACGAAAAGGGGCTGCGGGGGTCGGAAATTATTAAGATTCTGGAAATATTCCTGTTACTTCTCCCCCCCTCCTTACACATACTTAATACTTCATCCAGCCTGGTCTGTTGATCTGGTCACACGTCACTAACCATGTTCTAACTAGGTTCAGCTCATATTGAGTTTTGGGTAACATTGATTTCAGCTGACCGTCCTTCAGACTCACTTTCCACTTATAACCTGTTAGGACGGAGCTTAAGTAACTCGTCAGATCGCGCACGCCTCCGAGTCAGGCCACACGCACGCTCTCAACAATCCAGACAGACTGAACCTGATTGGATGATCACAGAGCGTGTCAGCCAATGTTTTGTCCAAGCGATTATGTCAAGGACACAATCTGATTGGGGCATCACTGCGCCGTTCTCGTATGCACGATTAATTCTATGTTTGCGTATCGATATCTAATCGAACAATACACCCTGACTGTTGTCTCAACCTGTGTCCTCTCTCCACGTTGTCGTTGGGGGTTAAGCAAGAGCCGCTCGTGTCACTCGTACGTCTAGACCAAACACAACATAACCCTCCGTCCATGTAGGCAGTTGGCACTAGATATGAGTTTCGCTATTGATATAGCTCCTAACTATTGGATATGAACTGGTATGAAACTTAAGACCCATTGCATATAAAGCATTTGTCAGCAATTTGAAGATCCCCTGTTGGGTAGGTGGATTCACACCGCTTATGAGAACCAACTGGGCCTAACAGCTATCCAATGCTTCCCAGCCTTTCAGCTCACGCAACATTCACACGACGAATTCATCATCTCATTCGAAAAGCAGCTGATCCAGGTGATGAACATGATTAATGAATTGCGTTTTTCAGGTGTCACCTCTAGTTACAGGCAATCTGTAATTGATACAACAACTTCGAAGGAGTAAATGGTATTCAACTTGGTATATCTGTTCCACAGGCACCCAGGTTTTCTTTGCGGATCCAGGGCAATCCTTATCAAACACACCCGTTAGGCTACATTAACACCACTGTAAGCCTGTTTCTGTACTATGTGAGCCCGTTTATGGATCACGCAGTTTTAAGAGTTCATCAACCCAAACAATCACTTGCGAAAAATGCGGGTTGGAGATACTGCGAGCGAAGAATCTCCAAAAATTCTGATGTGAACACAAAGCCATATTATACCATTGCACATTTTGTGATCCTTCTTTTGTAAAAAACACAAAAGAACAACACGCGGATACGGCTTTCATTAGGTAAACTGATAGATGACTTCATGAAAACCTAAGTTACCAGAAGGGTGAAGCTCTCATTTTCATCTTCAAAATAAGATATCGTGGATCAAGCTTTTCAGTGAGAAAACTCATAAGACCTGGAAAAAGCAAATGTGCTGTTGAATCAGAATTCATCGTTAATCGGACACCATGGAGCATCCAGCAAAAGCCCTCTGGATACCCTCGAGTTAAGCAGATCTGAATGCTACCAGGGGCGTCCCCGGGTTATAGATAGGAGGATACCTTCACCGAAAAAGGTTAGTTGTAAATAAGTTGTGACATACCACAACAAGTAAGCAGTCGTGAAAAAACAGCGGCGGCACTACCAGTCTGTGGTGGCTCTCATGTTGGTAACCTGGCTCCTGTTTAAAAGCCGCATAGGCCCAATAACGATGTCGTGAAAAAGGTCGATGTAACTGGCCTTTTAAAACTAAAGTCACTGACCCCCTCACTTCCGAGGCGAGGGATTACTTGCTGCCGTGCAAAGGCTAGAGATACACCCTAAAATAAAAAAACGCCTAGTGACGCTGGAGACGTCTTTCGTACCAAACGCCCAAGTAACTTCATGATTATGTCTTCTACGGCGGCAATCAGAAATATTAATGAAGCCGACTTGTCCTTTCTAAGGAGCTAGCTGTAGTAAAGTAAAAATTAAAGAAAGTTCTCTGAGTATTTCTAAGCTAAACGATAGATCTCGCCACAGTAATACGGATTCCGAATAAATCGATGCCCTGTGGAATACATGAGCTATGTCCACATTTGAATCAGTTTATAGAAACGATTCTAATATTTTTTTGAATGAAGGTGATTGTGTACTAGTAAGTTACAAGAGATGGAGGTCGCCCTGTTCATTTTTCATAATTTAAACGTAAGCACGCTCATAGCTGTTTTTGAGTAGTATAACACTAGATGCAAATAATTTCAATGGAATACAACTTACTGATTCTGTGTTTGCCATCAAAATAAGCCCACTCGTCCAAAGTTTGCGGTATTTTCTCTCCTGCCAAAATTGGTATGGTTCCATGCACCCAGCAATAATTTTCTAAAAACTTATCAAAATCAGATCCAGAAGGCACGGTCGGGATGTAGCAAGCAATTGCTGAAGTTAAATATTGTTTCACCGTCACAATCGCCATGCACATCAACAGTATAAGCAAGGAATAGATAAAGCTCAATTTGTCTGCAAAATCTTC